TTCCATTTGCCTCATTTCGTGGTGAAGATCCGGGGTAGAATAGGTCTTCAGCAACCCATGCTTGCCCTAAAAGACGACTATGCTTGTCGTAAGAGGCAACTAACGGGATCGGGTGGTCAGGCTCGCTGACTTGGTTTGATGCATGTCATCAATCTCAATTGCATGGATCGATGTTCATGATGTCAATCACTGGATTGTCTGGTCCAGACTTGATTATTTACAGACCGCCGTCATATAGCTCGAATATTGCTGAATGCAGCGTTAAACAACAAAAACAACATTTCGTGGTGATTTTTATGAGCAAATAAAGATGTTGGTGTTGTACAGAACATTACAAAATGTCCGCCGGTTGTGTCATTCTACCAGGATGATCTTTATGTTAACCATTCACACGTCCTCATCCCCCCTAAATATTTTCTCATCGAAATCACATGAGTCAAATTAAAACAATTAAATATACACAGGGAAGGGTGAAATTTTGACCAGCCAGACAGGCCATCTTCTTTGTTTCAAAAAGCCTTTCATAATTTAATTAGCCACGGGCCAACAGGGTAGCAGTTAAATCGTCTCCTAGAACCATAGTTTACTGTCTCTCGTTTATGAAACTGTTGCAGAGTCATTTATACTGTTAAGTCTGTTTGCTGCCAATTCTGAGGATGTTTTTGTATTCTTTTATAAATATATCTATCTACAGATATTATTTAAACAGCTGGCATACATGACCATGATGGATCTTCTTTTTAATTCCCTAGCATAACTATATAAATCCATATATTCAGACCAGAACATGTCCTTATGGGCCAAATGTGTCTATTGTATATATTACATCAATGAAGAGTTGGCAGGTGATTAAATTTTCTGACATAGATCGATGTACCAAATCTGTTATGTTCCAAGGGCGGTCTGGAAGCCTTGTGGTTAAAGCGTTCGCTCGTCACGCCGAAGACCCGGGTTCGATTCCCGACATGGGTACAATGTGTGGAGCCCATTTCTGGTGTAACCCGCCGTGATATTGCTGGAATATTGCTAAAAGCGGCGTAAAACCAAACTCACTCACTCACTCTCCCAGTTCTCAATATACGTGTTTGAAGGCCACAACATGGGAATCTATATCCATAAGGAAGGTTGAAATATTGACATACTTAGTGATATCCTTATGAATTGAATAAACAATTCCATCAATTTTTGACATCATAAAAATGTTAAAATCTTCATCCCATAATGCGAAGTCAAATTATATTGTGAAATGATCGGGAATCAGTGCTGCAATTTGATATGTTGTAAAACGTAAAATAGGATTGGAACTGAGAAGTCTTCACCAAAATGCTGAAGATTTGTGGGATGAGAATAATCGTGGGAGTCCATCCCACATTAAGCTGACATGCCGGATGCAAATTTTGCCACACTCTAGTGCCATGATGACTTAGCATTACACCACTACCATTGGGTGGTGCAAAAAACTTTTGAGTTTACCTTTGAGTCCGAACCTGTCTGTTGACATTATTTTCGCTAGGTCTTAGTGTTATGTATGGATTTTATTTGCAAAGCTTTCAGACCGAAAGAAATGTTTCTAGACTCAGGCTACGGTCTAGAGGCTAAAGTCACAGGCTGCACTGCCAGAAGCTAATTTGCGTATCACGTTATCACACTTTTCTCTTGTTTACAAATAAAGTAGCCGTATCGCTAGCTCTCCTTGGGGCTTTGACGTCTGCATGTGGAGCTATACAACCAATGTAAAAAAAATGATAAATGTCAAAATTGAAATACTTTTTCACGTTTGACAATATTTTCTCATTTGTTTGATAGGCATTACTTAGAAGTTGACGGATGACAAGATAGACACATTATTTTATGGATAACAACTTCTTTAATACTGTGAAAAGCGACGTTTCGGTATAGATCCTTATACCGTTGTCAAGCAAGACTGAATGAGGGACATAGTGCAGAACTATGGTTCTACTATATATATTCTGCACTATGTCCCTCATTCAGTCTTGCTTGACAATGGTATAAGGATCTATACCGAAACGTCGCTTTTCACAGTATTAAAGAAGTTGTTATCCATAAAATATTGTGTCTATCTTGTAATATTTTCTCAGTAAAAGTTAACCATTTTATGACCATTTTATGACAAGTTTATCTAAATGTGTAGACATTTCAAAAATGAAATGTATGAAAAAACATATTTCTTGATGGACTGTGTAAGATGTGATGAATCGTCACATCTCTCTGGTCTGTGGCACTCTGGGTGAGAAGAATGAAAAAACGAGTTCCCATAGGGACGTAATTTTTCAAGGGAGAAAACAACCCTTATTGAAAAGGTCTATAAGAGACCAACCACTTTGCATTCAGAATGCATTATGCTTGTGGACAATTTCATTTTGCAATGTTTATCAATATATATCATCTGCTGTAGATCAATATCGTGTCTATTTCAACAGCTGGGAGACAATTGGGCGATGTCCAATATAGCGCCACTTGTGGGGAAGATATAACGCAAGGGATATGTCCATTTTGGATTTGAAGTCAACAAATTGTGTTGAATCTTATTGTAAGATTGATGCAAATGTGTGTCACAATCTGATTTGCCAATATAAGAGCAATAGATATCACATTTTATGGGTAATAATATTGCTCTTGATAAATATTCTTCTTTTTTCTTATTCACAGTGTGAATTGTGTAGCAGGATGAATATCTTCTTCATTGTAAATTCAGTTGGATAAATATTTAGTGAAAAGAATTTCCTCTATTTTTACTGTCTTCTTCTGACATGGGTGTGAGTGAGCAGAGCTCGATATAAGCTGCGTATTTGCATAAAATATGCATTAAATAAACTGAAATACGCATAAAATATGCATTAAATAAACTGAAATATGCAGACAGATCAAATCCTAGCGTACCAATTATGCAAGAAAAACTATATACACACTTCTTTGATAGGCATTTAGAAGTTGGAGTACGTTAGTAAGGATAATTTATGGATGAACAACTTCTTTATTACAATTAAGAGTGACATTTCGGTGTACGTTCTAACACCCTTATCAAGCAAGTGAAGTACAGAGTATGGTTGACAAGTATATGTACAAGTAGGAGGCAATTTTTATACAGTAGAGTAAATATCAGATGTACCGGTAGTTATACTGGAGTGGAGAAGCCTGTTATGTACACACTAGGGCTGTTACAATTCACTCGCGTATTCGGTGAATCGAACCGTATCCATTCATGAATTGAATTCGTTATTCGTGACCAATAGAATCGAATATTTATGAATATGCAGTCATGTTCATTTACATACCATGTATCCAGAAAATATCCATAAGAACATACTATATGCATAGATTTCTTCAAAGACAACAATCTTATAATATATAATTTGACAGTATTGTGGTCACTGGTCATTGTCGCATTTGAGCAGATTCTTGTACCTGGATAAGTGCAGTATATAAATGTATAATATGTTAATAATTAACAAACCATGTCAAATAATTTGTGTTGCTTTTGTTTCATTGAATATAACATAGTACATCAACTGCTGACTTGTAATTGTATTCATGAATTAATATTCATATTCGTTACCCTATATTCGTGATACACATCGTATTCGCCTCATAGTGTATTCATTGCAGCCCTAGTACCCACAAGGGTAGTAACAACAATCATAGGTGAAGTCGGTGACATAAACAAAGAAAAGAAAGAAAGTTCTTATCCTTACTTATAAACACACTATTGAAATAAAATTAAGGCGTATATTACAACTATGAGATCAAACGATTGCGTATACTACAACTGTGACATATAATGATTACGTATCAGTCGATCATAATGTTCACTTCCGACAGTTACATTTGGAAAAACCTGTGGTACAAACATTGCCAATTGAAAAGTACATCGTGTCTAGTCAATGTGCATGCTGTGTCTTATACAGTCGCTGACTGGCGATTAAGGAAATAGTGCCTTTCTTATAATGCTAGGTTTTGCAAACCAAGATTGCTTCCCGGAGAGGGAGCCACAAGCAGACGCAGACAGGTATACTACTATTTACATAGTTTTAAATGATTTACAGGGGTTGTTTCGAAACAGGTTTTAAGTTTAAAAAAATTTGAATACCCCCTTAAAAATGTGGATACCCCAATCAAACCCCTGGGTAAAGTACCCTAATACCCAAAAGCTTATTTAGAGTTCTGGGTGTGAGGTTCAGATACACGTCTGTATATACACACATCCTTACCATGATTACATGGGTGATAAGTATGTGTTTAAAATGTCGAAACCTCTGACTATCTTACACATGAAATGTATTTATATTTATGAGAATTAAGCATGTTTAGCCCAAAGTGTTTGAAATTAACTCTGACCCCATTGATATATGTAACTAATCATTATTTTTTAGTCTTTGTAGAGATAATATTTCACTGATAACAGGCCCAAAAAATGGGAAGAGGTTTTAATGCCTAGTTGTATATTATTTCATTGAAAACAATCTAAAAAAACAATGTGAAAATACATCTGAATTTAAGAGAATTTGAACTTTTTTAAAAACAAAATACCGATTATCTCACTAACTTGCCTGCCATTGGCACTTAGTTTACAATCCTGAATAACTCACTCACTCACTCACTCACTCACTCACTCACTCTCTCTCTCTCTCTCTCTCTCACTCACTCACTCACTCACTCACTCACTCACTCACTCACTCACACACCCACTCACTCATTTACTCCTACATCCCACACAGACACACACAGACACACACACACCCCTTACACACACGGCTTACACACACGCACATGCACCCACACACCCACACACACAGCAAGGTTAACAGTTCAACAGAGTTATCAATATCGGAAGTTCAATGTGTCAGTGCATAACACGCAACTTTCACAGTCCTATTTCTGAGGCTACTATAAGCACCTAGTGATAGACAGATCTATTTCAAACACTTCTAATCAAGAGTTATCTACATGCAATATTTATATCTGTCTCATTTCTCTTTCAGTAACGAGATCCGGCCAGACTCGGATGGTTTCGTTAGAAGATGGTGGGAACTGTTAAACAACATGCAATAACGTCTGACTGATGATGTCCTTCCGGCATGAGACTCCGGCAGTAACAATGATTTCAAGATTATGTGAAACCTTAGAGGCACGAAAATGTCACTAGCTGAAAAATTTGGTTCCCTTTCCATGAACTCTGACATTATAATGGGTGGTTCATCAAAACTGGACGAGGTCTTCCTACCTTTAAACATGAACAACGACTCCAGAGGTGAGATGGAACCCTTGCAGAAACAGGATCAATCAAACAACATCCTTTCCTCACAAGCGAACTTCTTGGACAATCTTGTTTCCGGGGCAACTGAAAATGCATCAACTTCCAAATGTTACCAAGCGTCCATTGCATCCTTCGTGATGATTGCAGTTGTCATCTCAGCGTTAATATTTGGGCATCAGTTTATAAAAGACTTACTGATGTGGCTGACGGAGGTGGACTTCTTTATAAGCTATGCCATCTTTTTAGCGCTTCACATCGTTGTGTCGTTTCCCATTGCATGGGGCTATGTGTTGTTGATGGTGTCGGCCGGGTATTTGTATAGTTATATTTACGGTCCACTCGTCATCCTGAGTGGAGGCCTGCTTGGGGTTTTTGTATCTCACCTGACAATGAGAAACTGTTGCCGAAGCTATTTTTATCGCAAGTTTTATAACGGCAAGGTTGAAGCAGTCATCAAAGTTGTTGAGAGTGACCAAGGGTTCAAAGTGATTGCTCTTGCAAGACTGACGCCGATTCCATTTGGACTTCAGAACGGTCTCTTTGCTGTAAGTGTTTTGGTTTTCTTTACTGTTTTAGTCATTGTATGACACTGTTTGAAATTAGACATGACACTTCAGCATTTCTTTGTCATTACCCTGATATTATGAATTTAGAATAAGGCCATCATTGATTATTTATTAACACTGACTATAAATCATATCACCTTACGTCATTTGCCTGCAAACTATCTTGAAGTACAGACGAGCCCAGTGAAAGTCTGGGTTAGAATACGTCTTCACCAACCCATGCTTGTCGAAAAAAGTGACTATAGGCAACTATGCTTGTCGTAAGAGGTGACTGACAGGATTTTGTGGTCAGACTTGCTGACTCAATCAATATAGGCCTGAGCCTTCAGCTTGTGTAATGATATCATCAGTAACAAATTTGGGCATCAAGTGAAGCGTCACATGTCACCAGTATGGGACCCCCAGATTCATTACTGAGAGTCACAACCAGAGAAGCCTGTGAAGACGCCTGGGTAGAATAGGTCTTCAGCAACCCATACTTGCTGTAAAAGGTGACTATGCTTGTCGTAAACGGTGACGAACGGGATCGGGTGGTCAGGCTCGCTGACTTGGTTGATACATGTCATTGTACCAATTGCGCTGATCGATGCTCATGATGTTAATCACTGGATTGTCTATTCCAGACTTATTTACAGACTGCCATCATATAGTTGGAATATTGCTGTGTGCGGCATTAAACAACAAAATGTTTAAAAAAAACTAAGGCTTAAGAATATTGCTTTATACATGATATACATGTGTTGCCTTCTTTCGTCCCTTGATGAAATACATTTCATGTGTAGCCTAGCCAAACATTCCTGCTTCATGTGAGTCACATCTGTCGACAGTTAATGTACACTGATGCCTAACTAGATAATCTTATACTTTTAATAATGAAAAATATAAAGCCTCGTGGGCACATTTGGATGAAATATATAATTTATTTATTGTGGCTCAAAGGGGTCTGTAAATTAGAAATACTGTAACACAAATAACTCAATGTCAAAGGACCTTCTTGAATTCCCAATACTTATAGTTTTATAAAATGTCAGTTCGGTCTTAATTACGTAACTGGTCAATATATCATGATATATTAAATTACCTCTGATCTTCTTTTGAAATATTGCAAACAATAAACAAAAATATGATTTGGTTGGTTTGTTTAACGCCACACTCAGCAATATTCCAGCTATATGATGGCGGTCTGTAATATAATCGAGTCAGTGATTAATATCATGAGCATCGATCCACGCAATTGGGATCAATGACATGCATCAACCAAGTCAACGAGTCTGACCACCTGATCCCGTTAGTCACTTCTTACGGCAAGGGTGGTTGCCACAAGAATAAGAATTTAATGAGACATGATTTGTTTAATTGATAACTGTTACTGGTCGGCTTGGCTGCTGTCTTGGCTGATCTCGGTGAGTTGTCACTCCCTGCTCTGCCTGCCATGACGATGTATTGCCTGTAATGCAAAATCTACCAAAACAAACAAACAGTCAGACCATTGTACGCATACATTATAAGAGACCAAACTAGCCAGGGATTTATCAAGACCTCCTCCGAGACCGATATTCGTCCCCATGTCTGCAGGAAATGTCAGTAAATATTCCGAAATTGGAATGACAAATTACCCGGTAATAACCGTAAATGTTATGGCTTTGTCAGGTGACTGACCAATTTGTGCAAAATAACGATTTTTTCCCACAAACTGACCAATGGCACTTAGTTTGGAACCCTGGATAAACCACTTTCAGCCTGTCTCGGATGGACGGTAGGACAGGTATTTTAAACACTGGTGTAATATAGGTATATAGGTATTAAACACCATTCACCAACTACCGTATTCGACTTAATAAGCGCCCCGCTCTAATAAGCGCCCACAGCAATATTTGCTAATATATTGGCTAGTGAACAATCCCAATTAGCACCCCTTCAGATTGATCAATGTACACTTATTTATTCGTGTATAATACGCACTCGTGTGTTTTATGCACCCTTAATTATGGGCAATTAAATTTTGGAAAATATACAAATATTTATATATATATATCTGTCGTATATAATACGCACAGACTTTTCTTTTGTATCATTTCAGGCTGTCGGCATAAACCATGAAATTTACTACGACCTTTCAACTCTGTCTTTCTCACCAAAATTATATTTTAATAAGAGACCCCTATTTTTAATTTTGAGAGCGCCCTGAGCGCTTATTACGTCGAATACGGTAACTCAGATGTATTGAGGTTCTACATACTTCGTCTCACAGGCAGCTTTGGCTGTATGCTTCCCAGGGAGCTGAGAATGAAAATCGAGTGCACGCTGATCCAATGACTGGGGTAATGATAATAAAGCACTATGAGGATTCAGTGGAATTTGGCGCATTATAGATGGACTTGCTATTAAAGTATTATCTTGAGTGTACTGCACACTTTTAAAAAAAAAGACACAGCTATGTAGAAGGGTGATGCACATTATACACGTTTTGATGTTTTTTTCCCCCAACGCAAAGACATTACTGTGAGTACGTAACACCAGAAATACCATGTCAACAAATCTGTACACAAATTAATCATGCAATTACACTGTCCGGTTGTAAAAAGTGTTCATTGTATATCTGGACTTATGTATGTAACTTATTTCATTAATTTTATTCAAATTTCCCTTTAATATTGTTTTAATTAATTTCGGTGAAATCGTGTGTGAAGCGTTTGGAAGATTTCACAACTCACCGTTATTAACAGCAACCACGGTCAGATTACCTCTACTGACGCCTTGAAACAAACTTTAGTTGACTGAGACTGGATAGATGTATCATAAATGCCATACTTTGACTCGTTAAATGTCATTTGTTGTAGTTTGACAATTCTTTGTGCGAGTGAGCCTCTATGGTGACTGGTCAAATTGTTCCATGTGTAGAAATAATCGGGAATTGCAATCAGCTGCACCGAAGTGGTACGCTAAGGGTTATTACTTATTTAAATATATTTAATTAAAGTTGCAACGAAAATAACATGATATTGGAATATATTATTCCAGATAAAAAAATAGTTCCAGATACAACTTTTCCTGATCTTTGCATTAAAATCCTTTAAGGTTATATCATTGGGTAAGTTTTAACAGAATCACCGGTAGATTCCAAGAAAACATGTGTACAGCTGATTGCTATTTCCGGCTTAGATTAAGAGAAAATATGCAAGGTAATCTTAATCCCTGGATGTAAAACCAAAAATACAATTTAAATGGTAGATCAACATGTCTGGTGATTTTGTATCTCAAATTTCAAATTTGTACTGACCAAGTCTCTTATCACCTGTTCGTTTACCGGAATTCGCTGAAGGGATACAGTGTAATTTTTTTCTGTGCATAATATTTGATTTTTTTTTCACCAAAATACTGAATCCGCTAGACGGGGGTGCGCATTATACTTGGGTGCACACTATACTATAAAATATGATATGACGTGTATTTTGTTGTACCTGACCTTGACTTCATTTGGAAGTCACTACGACCTCGGCGAACCCCATTCTTCGCAGCATTGATACACAAAGGACCCAAACCCCACCAAACTTCAAACATAAGCTTTGTTTCCTTGTTCAGGAAGTGTTACATGGAGTAGCCGGTTGCCAATTAAAGCCAGTTAATATATCTTTGTTTCCAGAGCTACTGATAAGCAGCGTAATTGTGTAAAATACCCAAAAAAATATTCAAACCCAATTACTTTCAATTAACTTGCGTACAGAAACGTATGCATTAAATGAAAAAATCAATTGTATTAAAACAGCATGCGTAAATATCCAATGAAGCTTTTTCAAAGGATCTAATTTCCAAGACACAATTCAAATTAATTTACTTTCCGAGTCAAGCCTATATATTTAGAACAGTTATATACATCTAAAACATTATTTCATTTTTTTATAAATCATATAATGTTCACTAATTTTGAGAAAAAAACAATAGAGTGATGATTAAGTGAATGAAAAAATATTGGATACCCAATGAAAAATTTAATAACCCAATTAAACTCGAAACCCTGGAGTAAAAATTCAGTTGCTCAAAAACTTATCTGGAGCTCTGTTGTTTCTCATTTTTTCAAAACTGTGGAGGGAGGATTTTTTTGTTTTATTGTATCTCTTCAAGCAACACTTGACTGATATAGTGTCCACCGACTTCTCTTACATTGTTGCTTGCAGTATGTTCTCTGACCATGGCTTGTATTGTGACAGAGGTTCAAACATGAAGTCAACCAAGGCCTTGGCAGTTCTAATGACAGACAAACATTCATTGACCAAATTATTTGATCTTCAGATTTCTTTCACAAATTGACTCTCTAATTTACCTGGATTTCTCTGGTTGTGGTTGGTTGGTTGGTTGTTTTTTTGTTTAAAGCCTCACTCAGCAATATTCAAGCTATATAAAGGCGGTCTGTAAGTAATCCCAAAGGCGACTAACGGGATCGGGTGGTCAGGCTCGCTGACTTGGTTGATGCATGTCATCGATCCCAATTGCGTGGATTGATGCTCATGATATTAATCACTGGATTGTCTGGTCCAGACTGATTATTTACAGACCGCCATCATATAGCTGGAATATTGCTGAGTGCGGCGTTAAACAACAAAACACCCAACACCAAGAGAAGCAGAGCATCCTGCTGACTGATCATGCTGATTCTGTTCCTTATCTATGAAAAGAGTCCATTTTAATTAAGACATTTTTTTCAGAACTGAGGTTTAAGCACATATATTTTAAGCTGCAGCAGCTGCTAGAGTCACTGTAAATGAATCATACCGTAATGAGGTACCACCTTCTAGTTAATTGGTTCCCAGGTAGTGTACACTAGAGAGAGTTAGTATGTGAAATTTTATGCCGCTTTTTTTAGCAATATTCCAGCTATATTATGTTTGGGGATTCCACCCCGGGCCTTTAGATGATGAGCAAACTCTTTAAGCATGAGGCTACCCTACCAAAACCAAAAAAGATTTTAGTTATTTGTTTTA